GGGGGTTCGGGGTTGGGGGGGGGGGGGGGGGGGGTGTTGGGGTTGTTTTTTTGAACAAGCCCAAGTGGCAATGTCAGGCTGTGAGCTGACACGTGCCGGCGGGCAGGGGCTCGGGGGGAGGCAGTGGGTGTGCGCAGGGCTGCCGTGGGAACGTACGGACCCCCACCATGCCCACCGCGGGCCGTGGGACCCCGCAGGGTCCGCTTTTGGCCGTGGTGCTGGGAGCAGAGCGGTGCTGCAGAAGGGGATGCAACGGGCCGGATTTCAAGGCTGTTGAAAGAAAAGGGAGATTCTCTGTTGTTTTCAGGGAGCAGAGTCCAGCCCTAAGCCCGATGCCAGCCCGTAAACTGCCTGTGATTTAATCTCTGCGCCCATTTACGTCCTAAGCCACAAAGTCCAGAGCCACAGCACGGGGTGTTAACGTGGCATCATGGTTCTTATCTAACCTGCCCCGTGCCTTTGCCAGCCCCACATCCAAAACCTGCCAGGGACAATGCTTTCCTGCGGGCATCCTGGTGGTGATGCCAGGGTCTTTGGGTATTTGGGCAGCGGTGGGGTCCTGTGGGACATGGCCGAAGCCGTGCTTCATCCTCCTGCATCCCAGCGGGAAGGGGCAGAGGCAGGGTTGTGCTCAGAGACACGTTGGTGAGTTATGGTGCTGGAAGGGATCGTTGTAATCATCTCATCTGCATAACACAAGCCATGACGCGTGCTATTAATTAATTCCTGTGAAGCGTAGCTTTTAGAAAACACATGCAATCTTCATTTTAAAATTTTCAGCAATAAGGAGTCTTCCGTGTGTCCCCCCGCTGCTAAATCGTTGTGGTTCATCGCTCTCATGGTGGCAACATCGCACTTCTCTAGCATGGGAACGATCCATCTCCAGCTTCCAGCCAAAGTGCCGTGCTCCTCTCATTACCGAATTCCCATTCCCTGGCGTGGGGATGTGGCCAAGCCCTCCTCTTATCTTACATGGACCACACCAAGCTTTTCTGTGGCTCAGCATCCTCCCTGTTGTTTTGGTGTCCCCTTCTGGATGATGTTGCACCCATGACAGGCACAGCAATAAAAAAAAGAGCTGCTCTGCTCCTACTCAGCATTGCCCTGGCTCCGTGTTCCCAGAGCACCTTCTGGCTGGTGCTGGGCTGGGAGAGCGTGTTTAACTGATAACCCACCTCATTTCTAGAGCTGCTCCTTGTCCAGGACAGAGATCCCATAGTATTTTCTCCTAGGAGCAGAACTGCACCTTCAGCTGCTCTAAAACATCTAGGAATAAATAACCGAGAGCCAAGACTCTGCTGGAGATGCACACCTGGTCATAATTCCTGTTTTCCCCTGGATTTTGAGATCAGTCTGCCAGTTTATTCTCCTGGCAGTACATAGCAGGCTGATTTTTGTCTGGTACTAAATCACATGTTTTATAAAACTCTGTTACAGAAATGATTTATCTGTCAGATTTGGAGGCACTGTGAAACACACAGTTAAGTCTCTCTGAACCATGTAGACTCGCAGCAATAATATTACCTCCCTTAATTCCTTATTATCCCAATAATCTGTTCAGGAAGTGGCTTTTTCCCCTTGGGAATCACTATCAGTCAGTTTGTGCTTTGGGGCAACGTAAAGTCATGTTAGAAAGTCTGTTCTTGGCCGGTAAAGACTGAGGGTACACTTTTCCCATGCTCATGCATCTCCACGTGCCCCCTCTGCCCCATCCCCACCTGCAGCACTGTCACTCACAGTGATGGTGACGTGCAGCGGCGGGATGAAAAGCTGTTCTTTTTTGGGGTAAACTTCAAGAAGTGGAGTTGACAAATGCCTGAGCTCAATTTACGGCCAACAGCACTGGGGGTCCTTATCGGCGCTGCGCGCTTGCCTTCTGGAGGGACGTCAGAGCAGCCAGATCTGGAATTAATTACATCGCCTCACTTAAAATAGTGACACAGCCTCGCGTTAGCGCCTAAGGCAGTTGTCTGCCACTCTCTGAAAACCCTTTAAGTGCGAGCTATTGGGACCTGCCGGTTAAAAACTGTCTGGTTTTAGGAGTAGCTGTTTAATACAGTCATAAGTTACGGCCGAAGTGGAAAGTATTTTATCATCATCATTATGTGATATGGCTTATCATTTGGCTCTTCCCCAAGTATGGAAGAGAAATATTTACGAAACACTTTGGCTCCTCTGCATCCTGCGCTATCGCAGCAGGTCAGGGAGCTCTGTGGGCAACCCGAGTCCTTTAGTTCTCACTCTCTTGGCCGTAGACTTGTCCTTGCCTCCTTTAGATTTATCGTCCTTTAGATTTATCATCCTTTATGGTTCCTCCCGTATGATTTATGTTCATGACTATCGTTTTCCCCTTTTTCCCTTTCCATAGTTACTTTCGCTTCCCCTTTAGGCTGTGTTGGGTGTGTAACCAGTGTGGCTGTCTTTCTCAATCGGGGGTTGTGGCTTTTCAGCCCTCAGCTACCTCAAGGTTTTCTCCGCATGGCATTTCTTAATTTTCATCCTCGTGGGTCTGGTAGCTGTTCAGACAAGGGCAGGAGATGAGCGGGCAGATGTCCGCACCGCAGAGCGGCCGGTGGTGGGGGCTCTGATGGAGCAGCCTGGCTGCCCACCCCTGACCTGGAGCCGGGCAGATGCTTGCCATGATACACAGCACGTTTTTATACTTAGCTTTTAATTAACACCTAGAACACACTGATCCGGCATGAGTATCCACGTGAAAACAGGGAAGGTAGGAAGGAAGGAAGAACTTAACCTCGCTGTCTGCGACTGCGGACCTGCTTTCCGTCTGCTGTTCGTTAGGATGCCCAGATGCGGTGGTGATAAGCCAGCGGGAGTGAAAAAGGTGGGAGTGAAGGAGGAGGTCTGGGAGGACGCTCACCCTGGGGTACGGGGACTAACCCACCTCCCTCGTGTCTGCGCAGGCGTGCTACGGCATCCTGAAGGTTCCCATCGGGAGCTGGCTGTGCCGGACCTGCGCCCTCGGGGTTCAGCCAAAGTGTCTACTCTGCCCGAAGAGAGGGGGAGCGCTGAAGCCCACCCGGAGCGGGACGAAATGGGTCCACGTTAGCTGTGCCTTATGGATACCTGAAGTAAGATGTTTTCCAAGCTCCTCTTGACGTGCGGGTGGGCACAGACCTGGTTTCCAGGTCTCAGCCCAGGATATTAGTTAATGGTCTAAATACTAAGTCCGGTTTGGCTCGTCAAGCTGTGCCGAGGTCAGAGCCGTGATGCCGGTCGGTCACCAGGCTGCGTGTTTAATTAGCAGCCAAGAGGCACCCTGATAAGGGAGGACACAGAGGTGGGGTGCAAGGGTGCAGAGGTGGGGGGCTTTCACAGGACCTGCCTGGGCAGGGTAAAGCTGATTTCATGTGCCCATCCGAGATACACAGCAACATCCAAATGAGGAATTAGGTCAGAGGAAACACCAACATAATTTTTTTCTTCCATTTCATCCAAATTTGTTTCTGGTTTGGGGGGTTTGGGTTTTTTTTTTCCCCAGTTACAAGTGACCCTGAAAAATAAGAAATAAAAAATCCATCCCTCATTCAGACTGCCACAGACATCCCCCTGTAGGAGATTTGGGATGGCAACCAGTATTTACAACTTGTCTTTATTTCATGACCAGGTTAGCATTGGATGTCCTGAAAAAATGGAACCCATTACAAAGATCTCACATATCCCAGCAAGCAGATGGGCTTTGTCCTGCAGCCTCTGCAAGGAGTGCACTGGGACATGTATTCAGGTACGTAACTCGGCGCTGCAGAAACTCAGACCTCCAGGGTTGTGCCTGTAATAGCCGCCAGAGATTCTCGAGATGTTGGTGGATGCAATCTGGCCGAGGCTTGTTCCTGCTGCGAATAAACCTAACGACAGGGAGCACGAGCACCCATCAGACATCATCAGATGTTCTTTGCAATCATTTAATGTATTGAGTGCTAGGAATCTAGATTAAGTTTCTTTGCATAACACAGTGTTGTTGCTGTAGTGACACTAATTACCGGGACTGCAAATGACCTTGGTTTGAAATTGGGAACCTCCAGCATAAAGGCTTGGCATAGCTGCCAGAAAAGTGAAATACTCATGAGACACATAGCCCCAAGTATTTCACAAACCAGTGGGGCTTGGCTGGGAAGCCTTTCAGTTGGGAGGATATCAGAAAACCCCAGGATTAGGTAGTCCTCACTAGCCTGCTGGCTTGGAAAATTGAGTATTTACCATGTACTACATTCCCACATTTTCTCCACACCTAAGCAAACCAGTGCAGACATCTGAGCGCCTGCTCTCCCTGCAGCAGCAGCGTGTTAAAGAGGGGGCGAGACGTTCTCATTTCAGACGGAAAGCAGGGCGCTCTGGGCTTTCCTATTACAGAAATGGGACAGAGCTTCCCGGGCCATAATCCCTCTTCCCCAGGCAGCAGAACAGAAGTTCCCATCCAAAATGCAGCACGCTTGGTACGAGAGCATTTGGGGAGCCTTGCTGCATCCAGTGATTCCCCCTGCTCGGATGTCCCGGTGGTCCCTGGGGATGGGCTGGGGGATCTGCTGCTCTACGGTGCCGGTGCCTGTTGCTTTCGTTGGCAGACCAGGCATCGAAGCAGTCTTGGCGTGCAGGGGGGTAGGATGGAATAGCCCTTAAGCTTTGAAACACTGGGAGAAATTTGGGGATGTGTACCAATTCCGACTGATCGGCTCCTGTACAGCGACGGGAGCTGCACCCGGGAGGTCGGTGTACGCAGCAGTGACTCTTGGGGACCAGAATAGCTGGTTGCAGAAGGGCGATAGGAGTAGGAGGTCTGCAGGCTCCACTGCGTTTGTGCCACCGCCTTGGGTTTAATAGTTTAAAGGGAGCTATTTAAAAGCAATCCCCTTAGCTTGAAATGAAATCTCACAATACTTCTTTAAATCTCTAGCGTTGACTCACTTCTTTTTTGATGGCTCTGGGTGGATCTGCTTATTCACCCTGCCAGATGGAGATACTGTGTCATAACAGCAACTGCTTTCAAAGAACGGAAGGGCAGGGAAGGAGGCAAACAGGCTTGGCAGCATCAAAAAGAATTCAGCTTCTCTGAGGCTTCATCCTCTTAGCGCCGGCGTGGCACGGGAGCTGTGAGATCCCGGGGACTGAATGGATTTGCATTAAAGGTCACCTGAGACAGAACAGGAGCTTTATTGTCTCATGTGCTGGCAGCTCATGGTTTATAAGTCTGCATGAGATTGTCACCGGAGTGTTTGTCGAGGCCACCCTAGCACGCTTGGGGTGGTTTTGCTTCAAGGAAAAGGGGGAGAGGGGAAGAAAAGCAGGCAGTGCCTTTAGGTAAGGATTTATGGGGTATATCAGCAAGTTCACCCATGGATAAAAAGACGTGCTCCATACTCATCAGCAGTACAGAGCTCTGTTTTGAAAGCTTATGTTTATGGAGCACATTTTTGATTAGTGCCTGTTTATACAGGTGTAATCTAACTACCTTTGTCAGCATTTAGGGTTTATGACCCAGCTCAAAAGGAGAAGATTGTTTTCTGTTAAAGCACTGAGCTTTTATTCTTGGCAGTGGGAATCAGGTGCTCCAGGTGGGGCAGGTCTGGGGAAGGAGGGGTGCTGCTTCCAGGAGGGGTTTTCCAAGTAACCGGTTGGAACTGGGCTTTGCTGAAAAGGGATGCGAAATCTGGACAGCAAGCTGGAGGAGTGGAAGGCTGTCATCCCAGAGAGGGACGGGCATGCTCAGAGGCAGCACTGCAGCTTAAGAAAACACCCACCTCAACCACATTTACAGAGACCAGTGTGAGATATTTTCGCATAGGCATCTCTGTGCATCGAGGTATTTTTCCTCATCCAAATTTGACCACGAAAAGGGAAGCAAACCGAGGGAAACCTGAGGAAGGGCTCCCCACTGCCCTCCTTGCCTCTGACCTTGCTGCTTGCACATAATTACTTCCCTTGCTTTCTGGTACAGAGCTGTGAACCCAGTGTAACTCGGCGTGGCCATAGTCGAGCCAGAGCTCCGGACGCTGGGCAGGGATGCGGCCCTGGAGGCACCCTTTCCCTGGCTCCTGTTAAGGGGAAATCATGACTTCACGGTGGTTCTTGTGGTCAGACATCAGGAGGTGCCAAAGAGAGCTCAGTATCCAGCAGGAATTTTCTTGTTTGCATTGCTGAGATTGAAAAGAGAGTCCCGACCGCGCTTGCTTGGGACCCAGCTCCCTCCTCACTTTTCGGAGCAACTGGAAGAGCTCACCAAGGCCTTTCAATGCAGCGCAAAATGCCAGGTCTCTGTTAGCTGCTGGCAGGCTTCTCCAAAGGGTATGGTCTTTTGCTGTCATCATCTTCCATCTTTCTTTTTCTTGTCTTTTTCTGGAGAAAAAGCCCTCAGAAGTGTCCTGCACCACTCATTATCACTCCTCTGCCCGCTGCTGCCTGCTCCCCTTGAGCTGCTTGTGCCACTGGTGCCCATCCACTGGGTTAACTGGTGTGGTGGTTCCCGGAGCCGTCGTCCGATTGCGCCTGTAGCCCCGAAAACGTACGGCTTGCCATCAGGGGAAGAGCAGTGTGTGTGCGCCGTGCAGCCCCCACGCCATCCTCTGCCTCAGCCCCGCATCCTCCGAGGACGTCTGCGATGCTGAAATTGCCTGTTTCAGCTGAGAAGCGCTACCAAGATCCAGACCATCTGTGGTCACTAAAAATCACATGGTAGTTTTTGTAAGGATGCAGAATTGTCGCGGCTGATGGCTTGGCTGGAGTTCAGCACCAGTAATTAATTTCTCCTTCCTGAGTTCCCCTCGCAGGTCTGTTGGAGGAGCCGCTTCCTTCCCCTCCGGCCCCAAACTGCAGCGGAGCACCACTGTAAGCTGGTAAACTTCTGTTTGAATTTCCTTGGCAAATAAAATCATCCCTCTATTTCTTCCCAGTAAGAGTGGTTTGAGGACTACTTAACAGCCCACGTTAATCTCTGGTGCAGTTTTCACCCTCTCTCTCGGAATTCTGTTTGGGGATGGATTTGCCTGGATAAGCAAAGTATGCTGAGATCCTTGAATGAAAGGTGCTTAAGATAACGAAGCGTGATCAATAACGAAGCAGACATAGGGGCTGCGCCAGTCTTTTGAGCCTGGTTTATTCTGCGTGGCAGATTCCTCCCTCCCGCGAAGAGCGGCTTCGTTCCAGCGTCATTCTGGGCTGGATCAATATGTTTTTATTGACGGTTTATGCAAGGTCCTTGGGTAGCCGTGGCCGACCAGGTACCTTCCTTTGTTGCCCTGTCAGCCAAGCTGCCTAATTATTTTCTATTTGCATTTTGGGCACGGTTTCTGACAAGTGCTGCTTGCCATCTGTCGGAGGAGAGATCCAGGACGGGTGTCATTCCATTTGCTTTATTCCTAAGGTGGAGTGATGGTCGTTCCTGTTAGCAGGCCGTTGTCCTGGCAGAAGCCACGGCCGTGTCGCTAACGCTGTTATTAGCACCGGTGACAGGAACAGGACGGAGGGGACATCGCTGCGTGGCTTCCCTTAGCTCACCTAGTTCACCGACGGCGGCGAGTTCTCCGTGTCCGCTTTCTCTACCGTAGATATTTATGTGCGTAACAGCACAAAAGGATGCTGTAATTCAAAGCATCCCCAGCTGTTATGCCAAAACAGCCAGGATGGAGTATATCGGGAGTATATCGGGAGTATATCGGCAGTATGTCAGCAGTATGTCCGAAGTACGTCAGGAGTACATCAGGAGCTCCATGCAGCACCGTTACCATCTCGGCTACCAGCAAAGAAACTCAACCACGGGAATTTCCAGCTGGCAAAGGCCTCCAACCTGAAAGTGCCGTTAAAAGCGAGGAAGAGTGACTCCGTCGAGGAGCATCGCGTCGCCTTCTCGTGCCAGTGCTCGCTCCGTGGCTGCAGGAGCGAGCACCAGCGCTTTAAAAACCAGTGCGTGATGCACTGACTGCACCGAGTGAATGTGGAAGCTGCAAGTCAGGCTGGGCTCCTTCTGTCCCTTTTTCCGTACCAAACTTGAGAACGGAGCCGATGCTTCGGCCGCGTGGGAGGCTGTGACAGGGCTCGTCCCGCGGGATGGGCAGGGCGGAACCCGCTGCCCACCGCTGCGGTGGGTGCGCTGGGCTGGCACGGGGAGCACCGGCAGGTCCATACGATGCCAGGTTCCGCGCAAGCGCCGGCAGCGTAGCAGAGGGAGCTGATTTTTGCAAGCTATCAGCTATTTTCACGAGCAATTTCAGGCTGAAATAAGGACCAAATGGTCATATTTAAACAGGGGAAGCGGGGGGTAGGAGTTCATAATCTGCTTGCATTTGGTGCCTGCAGGAGTTAGTGCCCAGCATCGCTGCCCAGAGCCGTGCTGGTACAGCTCCGGGCTTGGCTGCGGCAGGGCTGCATCCAGCTCTTCCCGCTGGTTTCAGAGGCTTTGGAGCGGGGCCTGGAGAGCCCTGGAAGTGGAGGACTTGGACACCGCTTGCCTACGCTTTTCTTGGCCCTGGCAGCCGCACGAGTCTCTTGCTTTCATAAGCACAGGCAGATTCATAAACGAAGTCAAGGGAAAATATCTAAAAGCAGCAATGTCAAAAGTTCACACGCTGGGTGAGCGAGCAGTAATTCAGGGCTGATGGGATGAAGAGAAAAACCCATAAAATTTCTGTTCCCCGGCTACTACCAGAATATTTGTTGTTGTTGTTGAGAATTGAAGTGCAGCAAAGCCCCAGTAAAACTCTACAGCATCCTGAATAGTTTGTCATCAACATCCAGGAAATTTCATGTGCCTCTGCCTGGTCCTTCAGGCCACAACTGCATCTTCATCCCCCGCAAGAACAATTCTTCTATAAATGCTGAAATATGGTGCCTACAGTAACAGCCCACTTAAAATGTCTCATTATTGCAGTTTAACTGGTCATTAGCAGCTGGAATAGACTGATTTCTTGCGGGTTATGGTTGAAATAATTACCTAACGCTCTGAGCCATTAAAAAACAGTTAATGAGTAGAGGGAGAGAAGGTGCTGACGTGGACATGGGCACAGCACTGGCTGGGGGGGTTCCTCTGTAGGAAACCAGGCTGAGGTTTGTTGCCTGTGGGGTCCAAAGCCATTTAAGCAGGAGGTAAGTTAGGGAAATTGTTAAAAAATTAATCTGATATAAGTTTGACAACAGTTTAGCCACTGTACTGGTTCTAAAAAGTTCATTTCATGATGTTTTGCTCTGTATATGCTGAGTTGCCTTTTTTTTTTTTCCTTTTTAATGGAGCTAATTAGAGGCTGTGTAATTTCCAGAGGAGAAAGGCATCGTGCTCTGGAGTGTTGGCTGCTTCTGAGATACCACGTTCACTCATAAACCTTGACACGTTCTGTACGCTTTCAATAAAAATTGCGTATTAGCTTTTGATGTGTAACAGAGTGGAGTAGTTTAAGGGTGAAATACAGACGAAAATTCCTCCATCAGGAGAAATCCACTGACAGTCTTTGAGCATCCCGTTGGCCCGTGCTGTTGTCTATGGCTGTTGATATGTCTTATTGGAAGAACCGTCGGAAGCCCCTGCTTATGGCAGGCGAAAGATGAGCAGGGCCCGTCACGGAGAAGGATTAAAGCAGATAAGGTGCTGGCTGATATCTAGTGAACCCTGGGTTTCTTCTGTTTTGGTTTATGGTGTCCGGCTCATGGGTGTGTAAGACTTGGGCAATACAGGTGTCCCTCTGTAAGGAGTACCTGTAGTGGAGCATCCATCGCTTCACGGTAGGTGTTGTCACTCAGCTGGGTGTCGCTGGCTTCGTAGTCAGCCCTTGTGGTCCCGTTGTGTTGGGAAGCGTCCCCCCCCCACCGACGGTGCTTTGCCCTGGCCGTAAGACCTGTCCTTCTCCCCGCAGTGCTCCATGCCCGCCTGCGTCACTGCGTTCCACGTCACCTGCGCCTTCGACCACAACCTCGACATGCGGACTATTCTAGCGGACAACGACGAAGTGAAGTTCAAGTCCTTCTGCCTTGAGCACAGCACAGGTGCCACCAAGCTGCCCGAGGAGGCACGGACAGAGCCTGACCAAGCCCAGCTGGACTTGGAGAAGGTCACGCTGCGGAAGCAGAAGCTCCAGCAGCTGGAGGAGGACTTCTATGAACTCGTGAAGCCTTCGGAGGTGGCGGAGAACCTTGACTTAAGCGAATCGCTGGTGGATTTTGTCTACCAGTACTGGAAGCTGAAGAGGAAAGCAAATTCCAACAAACCGCTGCTGACACCAAAAACAGATGAAGTGGACAACTTGGCCCAGCAAGAACAGGACGTTCTCTACCGACGCTTAAAGCTCTTCATGCACCTCAGGCAAGACCTGGAGAGGGTGAGTACAGCTTTTCCTTCAGTGGTGTGTACCCGTATGCTCCATCAGGGCTGCTTTAATGTGCGCTGGTGCCTATAGACAGCAAAAGCCCTGTTCCCCCTTGACTCAGTTTGACGCCCCTAACAGTTGCGTCCCTTCATCCAGAGCATTATTCAGAAGAACGGTGCTCAGCACACATGTATCATCACTGCCAAAACACTGACACTGGTGAAATAAATTAGTGATGGTCTCAGCCAGGGGTTCAAAAGAACGAGGAAGAGGTGCCTCAGCAGGGCTGGGTGGATGGGAGGCAGATGATGATTGTGATGGGTTGACCCTGGCTGGACGCCAGGTGCCCACCAAAGCCGTTCTATCACTCCCCCATCCTCAACTGGACAGGGGAGAGAAAAATATAACAAAAAGCTTGCGGGTCGAGATAAGGACAGGAGAGATCATTCACTAATTACCGTCACGGGCAAAACAGACTCAATTTGGGAAAATTAACTCAATTTATTGCAAATCAACCAGAGTAAGGTAATGAGAAATAAAACGAAATCTCAGAACACCTTCCCTCCACCCCTCCCTTCTTCCCGGGCACAGCTTCACTCCCGGATTTCTCCACCAAGCCCCCCCAGCGGCACAGGGGGACAGGGATGGGGTTTATGGTCATCACACGTTATTTTCTGCCGCTTCACTTCCTCAGGGCGAGGGCTCATCACACTCTTCCCCTGCTCTAGCGTGGGGTCCCACCCACGGGAGACAGTCCTCCACGAACTTCTCCAACATGGGTCCTTTCCACAGTGTGCAGTCCCTCAGGAGCACACTGCTCCAGCGTGGGTCCCCCACGGGGTCACAAGTCCTGCCAGAAAACCTGCTCCGTGGGCTCCCCTCTCCACAGATCCGCAGGTCCCGCCAGGAG